TAAATTAGATACAACCAAATCATCACAGGCCGCACTGTAATAACGTTTCAGTGACCCATAAACTGACCGATCCAATGGCTGCAGCTTGTGACTACAATGTAGTGGACAGGACAGCATAGTTTTACTATTTTTTAGCTAAATCTAACACACAATTGAAACACGGCTCTCGTGGTTGTCAAGAATTAAAAGCACTAGATTAGCTGGTGAACATTTCACATTTTGAATAAAATATTTCATTCTATCTAAAAACGTTGTAACATTTATCCAACCAGATGGTCTATCGGTTTTTCTTTTTTTATGATACGCCATATTTAACTGTAAAAAAATGAAACATTTATATAGTTTTGCTATATTCCTAATTTTTGGATGAACATTTATAAATACTTTTACTTATTAGGATCTTCTTTATTAACAAAAACACGCAGATATATATATATATTTTTTAACATCTTCGCTACCAACAAGACTGCAAGCAACCACTGATTAGTATTGAAAGTTACTGGAAGAGAAAAGATAAAGATTGTAGAGCAAGATAACGATTGACAGACGACTTAAAAGATTGCAAATTATATGAATCAGGAAAGCAAGATGAAGGACATAATTCCAAAGAACTGATGTTCGAGGAAAAAAACTAGAGGAATAAGAGTTTTTGGAGCACTTAGGAACAGTAACAGAAAAAGGATGAGACTTAATTGAATGACGAGTAACATGAAAATAAGTTTTAGTAAATGGCACAAGAGACGCTAGCTCTTTAGAGCAGTGTCCATTATAGTATTTGTAGAAAAGAGAAAGAGAAGCAACATTACGACAAAAGGAAGGAAAGGAAGGATTCAATAATCTTAAAGATGTTTCCAGATACACCGTAAGAAAGCTTATGGAGAAGACCAGCATGCCAAACTTTATCAAATGCTTTAGAAATGTCAAGAGCGATGGCCTTAACCTCTCCATCTTTATCTAATGTGCAAAAAAACCTATCGGTTATTACTGTTAGCAAATCAGCCGTAGAACGAGAAGATCAAAATCCATATTGATGATCAGAAAGTATGTTATTAGATTCAAGATGAAAGATTAAGTGTTTGTTAATTAAAGATTCAAAAACCTTGCTTATGATAGGAAGAAGACTAATGGGACGGTAGTTAGACGAATTGGATTGCTCTCCAGAATTTTTAAAAATAGGGATAACAGATGCTGCTTTCCAGCAGGCTGGAAAACAAGACTCTGATAAGCACTTGTTGAATAGTTTTGAAAGGATAGACGACAGCTACGGAGAACACTTCTGCAAGACTATAACAGGTATGTTGTCCAGGCCTCAAGCTGTAGAAGAGTCTAAGCAGGAAATCACTTTAGATACGGAAGCTGTTATGTAAGAAGCACATTTTACGAAGGAAGACAAAAGATTTCTACCCAAGGGCCATCACGAAGAAAATCACGGAAAGAGTCCCAGTCAGCTTTAAGATGGTTTTAAGATGTACGATGAAAGGGGGATTCTGATGATAAAGAAGAATGAGATAATAGTTTAAGAGAGACCAAACCATGATCGGAAGCACCTAAGGGTGAGTGTGGAGAAACTAAGCACTGACTAGGATCAGAAACAAGACATAAGTCAGTAGAGAAGGTAAATGATTCGGATTGTCTGGAAAGCGAGTTGGAAAGTTGACTATTTGAGTTAGGGATTGAGAAAGGCAAAAGTTGTGGGCTTTAATGCTTGCAGAGTCACTAACACTAGAGCCAAGCCATTCATTGTGATGAACATTGAAGTCACCGACAACAACAATATTGGCTGATGGATAAAGAGAGAGGGCTTGGTCGATATGATCAGAAATAACATCAAGAAGAGTGCAGTCTTGAGATGAAGGAGAGCGATATAGAACAAAGAGAAAGGTGATAGAGTGAAGTGGTGCTAAACCAAAGCACATAAAAGAGTAGTCTGTGGATTCAAACTAGTTTCTCGACAAATGGGTGAATTCTTGCGAATGTAATTGCCCAGGCCAAGCATGTGAGTATTAAAGTCTTTACGAATTAAAGGAAGATAACCATCAACACTAAGATTACAAGATGAGACAGCTGAACTCAAATTAGTCTCACAAAGAACAAGTAGGTCTAGTGAACTTTGCAAGAGATAAGACTCAACAGAAGAAAAGTTACTTCGAAGGCCACGAATGCTAGTGAATGATTTGTGTTTTATAGTTTTTGTTACTTTATTTATTTTTAAATTTGTTATAGAACTTGACTTGAAACATAGATAGTACTCAGTACACTGTTTTATAGCCCAAGCAATTGCCTCATTACTATTAATAAACCCTAAGCCGTAACAAAGTGCTCCAATGTGGCCTTGGCATTGCACACCAAAAGTACAAACAGGGACACCATCCATGTGCAACATGGCACTGTTAGTACTTTGATATTTTTCAGCTGTTGATGGAATCAGCCTCTCTTAGAGCTACCACAGAGTTCAAGAAACCTGACTACCAGACGGCCTCAGAACCATAAAACTGAGTTTTAAAGCTGTACCCTTATTTAGAGATAATAGAATGAGTTGCCTAGTCATAAAAACAGAGACACAAGGAAAACCCACGTATCGAGTCAAGAAGATCCAGCGTTCAACATCCTAAACTGGAAACAATGTATTAAAAACACATCTGCGCCAGCCTAATAGATGAATGTAATTTATATATATATATATATATATATATATATATATATATATATATATATATATATATATATATATATATATATATATATATATATATATATATATATATATATATATATATACACATATATATATATTTATATATATATATATATTTATATATATATATATATATATATATATATATATATATATATATATATATATATATATATATATAGAGAGAGAGAGAGAGAGAGAGAGAGAGAGAGAGAGAGAGAGGAAGAGAGAGAGAGAAGACAAAAAAAAAAGTATAAAATCTTTATTTTATGGCTATATTTTGGAAGAAAAATATATATTTTAGAACAATATGACATATTGTACATGTTACTTTATTGGTAAACATATTGTGTTTGTGTGTGTGTGTGTGTGTGTGTGTGTGTGTGTGTGTGTGTGTGTGTGTGTGTGTGTGTGTGTGTGTGTGTGTGTATGGACCTTTGATCATAGGATCAAAGATGCATAAACGCATTAGGATCAAGGGTGCTAACTCGCTCCATTTTTACAAAAATTCTTTTTTTTGTCATATTAGATGCTTCTATAGCTTACCAAAAGCAACCATACAAGAGTTGAATAGATTAGTTGCAAAATGAAATAAGCAAAATTATTCGACTCAAAAAAATATTAAAGATGTGAGGTTCCTTGTTAAAGTAAAAAAATTACTTTTTGTCGTCAAAATAAAACTCTTTAGAAATAAAATTAATAGTGGTCTATTCTCTAACCAAAACACAATTAATTTTGAAGATACAATACTTATAACATGCTGGTTATCAGCCCTTTTTAATAAGTTATGTAAGTACGGAGATAACACTATAGGATGTTTAGGTGGTTACGGACTAAGGGTGCAAGTTCTCCTCTACAGTGCAGATAATAATGTAAATAAAATATAGTTTAAATAATAATTTAAAGAAAATATAGTGCAGATAACAATGTAAAGAAAATATTGTGCAAATTACAATGTAGGGTTTAATCATTAATTAATGGTTAATTAATCAACGTAAAAAAAATATACTTGTGTGCGTATGCACGTACACAAAAAAAATATTAAAAATAGTATAGTAAATAAAAAACATAACACAAAGCGCTAGTAAAATAAATATAGGATAGATTAGTAATATGAGCATATCAAAAGGTTTCTAAGATGTAAGTAGTGAAGTTCAAGTTGGTTTGTATTTTCTGACTTGACTTTATTTGGTTATAACAAGAATCAGTATAATTTGCGTAAATTTATATGCCGTAATTAGCGGCTCTCATCTAATTAAAACGTTATTCAATTTTTTTGCTTTGTTTAAATATTTATAATACGCATGAAAGAGACTGTGGCGCGAAATTTTGGTGTTAAAATGATGAAAGTTTTCTTTAAAAAAAATATGTTAGCTAAAAATCCGTTCCATTTTTGTTTAGAAAACTCATAGAAACATTTATTTTTGACTTTATTTAAAGATATAAAGTCAAAAATAATTTTTTTTTTTTTTTTTGTGTATTCTGAGCATGCTTAAATTAACTAGTGTTTTTCATTGAAGTTACCTAAAATTGCAGTGGTTTTAATTGCTTTTTGAATTAAAACAAAATGTGAAAATTTTTATTACTTTAACAATAATAAATATCTTTCTGTAATTTAAATTCAAAAAAAAATTATTTTTATCGTTTAAAGCTTTAAGTTAAAAAAATTGAAAAAATAATTTTTTTGCGTAAAATAAATTAGTTTTGCTTCAATAAAAAGTGTCCTAAAAACTTTTCTTTTAATGAAAAGTTTTGTTAATAAAGAATAATTATATTCCATGAATTAGTTCTAATTGTCAGGTTGGTATTTTTTTTACCTAATGTTTTTTTGTTTTTTTTTGAGATAATTTAAAGTGCTTATATTACCAAATAGTCGGATAATATAAGCATTTTTGCTAATTTTTTGAAACTGTTTTTAAGAAAAAAATTCGGGTGCCCAATTATCTAAGTGGATCATGAGTAGCGATCCCTAAAAATTGTTTATTTGCAAAAAGTTTGAATCCAGCGTAATTATTTTTAAAAATCATCCAATTGTTGTTTAAGGCGCTCATTATACCCTAATCTACCCTACATAAATATAATGTAATATAAATTCACACACACGCGCAGCATAATAATAGAAAAAATGGACAGAAAGATAATAAAAAATTATTTGTGCTGTAAGATGTACTGAACACCATTTATCTATTTATACTTGTGACGATATATATTTATACTACTGACATTTATGTTTAAGATATTTAAAAGATAAAGTAAATTATTTTTTTAAACATATAAGATGAAATAAATTATTTTTTTGGTACAGCTTCTTGATCCGTCGAAGCCAGATAACATAAACTTTGGTAATACAGATAACATAAACTTTGGTAATACAGATGATAACGTGGCAGATACCGATAGTAAGTCGTTATGCGCTCAACTACGCCTCTTCATCAAAGATGAGCAAGATGCATTGGTAGAAAGAGCATCAAAGTTTTCCAGCGATTCTATATTACCAACTTCAGAAAAATAATCTAACCATTATAATCTTAAATCTTAAATAATTTTAAATCTAGAATCTTAAATAATCTTAAAATTTGAAATTATTTAATGTAACAGTTTATTTTATAAAACGACAACGTTTTACATTTGTTAAAGTAATTTGTAGTAATTTATAACCTAAAAATATAAACTAATAATAAAAAATTTTATAAAGTTATTTATGTTTTTACTATGTTTTTACACGTAATCATTTGAAGTAAGATGTTTGGTGCTATATTGGTGAAAGTCAAAAAATTGTTGAAAGTAATTATTCAAAACTCGTTTTTAAATTTTTCTGGTCAGCGATTCCATTTCGCAACGAAAATCATTTGACAAAAAACATGTAATTTTTTCATAACTTTATTCTCTTGTATCTTTTTTTGTTTTAAAGCTAGAACTTTGAAGTTTTTTGCATCAATTAGTTTTTCTCAACTTCTTTCTAACCATAACGAAAAAGTGCTATGTTTTATACGGCTTCTTTTATATATTAAGACCACTATCGATAAAAAAAACTTGCCGTGGTAACGTTTTTCAAAAGTAGTTTTTGAAGATTCCTAGGTACTAAAACACATCAAATTGGTTTAAATATTCCCATGCAAATATAAAAAAGGATAAAGAATCTAATGAAATGGAAACTTTTTTAACGTTTATACATAATTTATACATAGATTTATTTGAAAAAAAAAAACTTTTTTAATTTAAAGATTCCCTGTGAAAAAAGCATATATAGCCTTTCCTAAATTTAAACCAAGTATTTATGTTTTCTTGAATAAATTGTACTTAGGATTTTTGTGTAGAAATTATGTATATTATGCTTTTCTTTTTTCGTGTAGCTTTTGTTTTGATTTTTATGTTTAATTTTTTATGTTATTAATAATCCTCTTACTGAGTCGTCCTCTTTACGTCTTCTTTTATCGCTTACTACTGACCTTTCATGGAAACCATATATACAATCAATTGCTAAATTAGCTTCTGCTAAGGTTGCTTCTCTTTATCGTGCTCGCCATTTCCTTACTTCTGATTCCATTCTCTACCTCTACAAATCTCTTATTCGTCCCTGTATGGAATACTGTTGTCATATTTGGGCTGGTTCTTCTAACGATTCACTTTCTCTTCTTGACAAGGTCCAAAAACGCATTGTAAATATTGTAGGACCTGGACTATCTGCTAAGCTTAAACCTGTTTCCCATCGTCGTAAAGTTGCATCTCTTTCTCTTTTCTACAAATACTATCATGGTCACTGCTCAAAGGAGTTATCATCTCTAGTTCCATCAACTAAAATTCATTCTCGTTTTACTCGTCATTCAGCTAAGTCTCATTCGTTTACTGTATCTGCCCCTGCATGCTCTAAAAACTTTTATTCATCTAGTTTTTTTCCCCGCACTTCAATCCTTTGGAACTCTCTCCCATCTTCATGTTTTCCTGACTCATACAACCTTCAACTTTTCAAGTCTTCTGTCAACCGTTTCCTTGCTCTTTAACTCTGTTCTTTTTTCTCCTAGTAACTCCCAGGTTAATAGTGTTTGCTTGCAGCCTTGTTGGGAGTGAATGCAAATTTAAAAAAAAAAAATTATTTTCTGATATTTCATAGTCAATTTTCCATTTCCGTCATCAGTTTTTCCAGCACAAAAAGTACAACAACTTCGGATTCACCTTTATAAGTGAAAGATCCCTAGTTTTTTAAATCTTTTTAATCATATATATTCTAAAAATAAATTTTCACAGATACTTACAAATAGTAATGAAATGCTAATCTTAAGTAAACACCTTAAAAAGTTACTTTTATATATATATATATATATATATATATATATATATATATATATATATATATATATATATATATATATATATATATATATATATATATATATATATATATATATATAAAGGTTGCGTTTTAATTCAAGATACAAAAAGTGTCAGTAAAACTGACACTTTTTATATCTTGAATTAAAAAAAATTGGAATGAGTAACAAAGTTGATTTTTTATTGAACGTTTATTAAGTCTAGAACAAAAATAAATAAAGAGAAAATTATATTTTTTCAGTACGATAAAACTTTCTAATTTTTCTTAATAAACACGATAAAAATAAACACGATAAAAAACTTTTTTTTGGTATGTTCTTAGAATTAAATATGCAGAATAGGAAAATAAAAATAAATTTAAAGTTAAACATTTTCCTTAATTTGATGCGGTTGTTTTGTTTATTAAGAGTAGGCCTTATTCAACTTCCAGCTTTGCGACCCAATGGTTTATTTTGATTGATTGATAACTGTTCATATATCTATAAATTGTAGCTTTTGAGTAGCCTTTTCCATCTTCATGTTTTTTGTTTTTTTTTTTATAAAAATTATACACACAACTTTTTAGGGCTTGTTGATTTGGCATTTTAAATTGTTATCTAAACAAAAAATAATTAGAGAATTTATATGCTAATTGAAAGAGGAAAGATAGAGCTTTCATTTGATACCAAATGCTAATTATTTTATCAAGCTTACTAATTAAATATCGCTAATTCAAATTAGTCTCAAATTTTATGGAACAGGTGTTGTAAAGCGTCAAATGCTTATTTGAAGTTCTAATCACAGTGCTTTTAGAGCATTCAACAGTTTTTACAATCGATTTAATCGATATAAGAGGTACAATCAATTTGAGAGAAAAGTTAGGATTTTCCACTCGAGCGTTCAAATTTGCGTCACACACTTGTTGCTGTTTTGTTGCCATTTTGAATAATAGTTTTTTCTTAAAAAAGATATTTTTAACTGAAATACATAAATAATTTTCTGTATAATAACATTCTGTCTTTTTTGCGACTTAATCTGGAAAAATAAAAAAAGTCAATTTTACTTAACCCTTTAATTAATCATAGTAATAGTGATGAAAATATTAACGATGATGTTAATAATAATAATATTAGTTATAACAAAGATAATTAATGATAATAGTAATAACAATAATAATAATAATTAGTAATAAAGTTGAAAAAGATAGCATAAAATAAAAATATTTATTTTATGCTATCTTTTAGAGAAAAAAATAACTATTATTTCATTTTTTTCAGCAAGTTCAAAGAAAATAGAGTCAGGGTTGATATTTTTATATACTAATGGAAGTCATGATGGGATGAGTGAATATTTTTTTGCAGTTCTTCAGGAATTGAAATAAAGAAGGAGTTGAAAATTCCTAGATTTTAAATGAATCGTGTATTGTTTGAAGATATATAAGATGGGTATGAGATATCATACGAACGTATATTCAAGAGAAATACTTGCTCTCAATTATAATTATTTAATTATAGTTACAGATTTTCAGTATAGATCTAAAACATAAATGATAAACATAAATCTTGGGGCTATTTATCCCCTATTTAACTTCCTTTACACACACACCACACACACACACACACACACACACACACACACACACACACACACACACACACACACACACACACACACACACACACACACCTCCTTAAAATCGCTCTAATGTTAACAAAAAAAAATATTTGAATTTGTCATTAAAAAACGACATAAGTCATTTTAAACGAAATTAAACTACATTTTCAAGATCATTGATGGTAAATACATTATTCGCTCTAACAACAACATTAGTCAGCTTTATCTTATGCAGTAGCGTCATATTATATTTCTTTAAAAAAACACATAAGTCAATGACTTAGATTGTTTTAAAATACAACAGTTTTTAATTTACCAAAGCTCAGTATTTTTGATTTATGTCAGTTATTGTTTTTTAAACAACCGATTCATTTTTAATAGAGGACATCATACCGGTAACAAAAATAAATAATGTAATAAATAACAAAAACAAAAAAAGCCTTGAAGACAAATTCGTTGTAAATATTTTATATATTATAATATAAACATTCATATATTATTGATTCTCAAAAATAGTATTTAGATTTACATATTATATGAAATGTTAAAACGCAGAGTACGTGTTTTTACTGTATATAACTTAAAAAAATTTTAAATGTTTTTTATACTTTTTATAGAAACTCATTAAAATTTGAAGAACTCGAATTGATTATTAATTTGAAAAACGACAAACACGCCAAGTTTATTTAAAGCATATATCACAACGAAACCTGGATTAATCAATTGAAATAAAATATAAACTAACCTATTAAAATAGTAAAATTAAAAAAATCTGATTTGCAAAAACAATGTTTTGAAGTAAAAGTTTTACTTAAAAACAATGTTTTACTATAAAACAATGTTTTACTATAAAATAAAGATTAACGCAAGTTAAATTCGCGACAACAAAACCTTAAACAAAAAAAATATGTTTATAAAATGAATTTAAATTATTTACATTAGCGAGAATCATTTTACTTATAAATACTGCATAAAATGAAAATAATATATATTTTTTAATGTAACGTGTGGGTTAATTGTTATATTATTTTACCATAAGCTGATTTTGTCATAGATTTTGTTACCATAAGCTGATTTTGTTATATTCTGGCGGCAAAAAGTTTATTCAGCTTTAAAAAATTTGTTGTGTACATATGTGTGTGTGTAATATTCCAAATTCCATAAATGATTTATTAAAACTAATGGTTAATTTCTATTCAAATCTTGTATATTTATTAGTATTTTTTTTTTTTTTTTTATTATTATATGTAAATCCTATCCGAATCTTGAAAATTCTACGGACAAAACAATAAAAGATCTATTTACCCTCTAGTCAAATAGGAACTAATATTGCCTTAATTTTGTCCTATGGAATGTTCCAGCTATATCCAACAGTTTTTTTTTAATTCTTATAGGTGCCCTGCAAATCTAATAAAGTAAATAATCATCTCATGAGCCCAGTAGATATCCAAAAAAAATTTGTATATGACATAAAAATACCATAGTGTTTAACAGGATATATACCATTAAGTAATATTTTCTTATAGATCTTATATGAATCCTATAGTTTTTTTTTATAGATCTTACATACGAGCAGCATTTATCTTACAGCAGTCCTACGACATATTTTATATGCCGTAGGATTTTTCTATAGTCCTACCGTAGGACATATTTTACCGTAGAATTTTAATCAATAGGATTCCTATATAATCCTATAAGACTTTTTGACTAGGGTATATCAAATTTATTCTTCCTATAGAAATTCTTTAGAACCTATAGGATACCTTTAAAGA